TAAGTAAGACATGGACATGTATTAAAATCAATTAAGTAGACATAATATACTTTTTTGTTGAAAGTAGACATAATATACTTGAAATCCAACCTATCATCCATTTGAATCCAAAATACCCTACATCTAGTTTAGGATTTCTCACCCCAAGCTCAAAAAGTATCACCCCATGAAAGGGGGAGGAAGGACACAAAAAAATATGGAGAACTCAACATCTTGACAACTCAAACTCTGGGAACCCCATCTCCAAAGCTCCAGAATTAGGCTCTCCTTCTTCTAGATCCTCTTTCATTCCAAAGGAACCCTTAGCGCTCTCTCTCTCTCTCTCTCTCTCTCTCTCTCTCTCTCTCTCTCTCTCTCTCTCTCTCTCTCTCTCTCTCTCTCTCTCTCTCTCATTTGTACTAAAATTGAAAAATATGATATTCTTTACCTTAAAAAATCGATCAGCTATATATAAGGACCATGATTGGTCTAGTTCACGGCGTGAATTGAAATATAAGAAGATCTCATGAACTCTGATACATCGTCGCTCTATTCTAAACATCCTGAGATCACGACCTCATGTTCACGGTTGTGATCTTCATGTCACGGTCTCCCATTGGCGCTCGTGTGTTAGGCCACAAAACTGTCAATTTCTACTTACTTTTTTATTGCTAGGGTTCACGACATGATCTCAATGATCATGTCTATGATCTTCTTCATCCGCCCGTGAACTTATAATAGAACCTGAGAGTCCCTACCGATATCTTCTGCCTGAGATCGTGAACTCCAATTCAGTTTCTCCCTACACTTGTTGCCCAACTTTGCTCCAATTTCGCTCAAACCTTTGAATATGTTGAGGGTTCAATTAGCAACTGTGTCAAATTTTCTCGTCCAACAACATAAAATGGGGTTACAACGGTTAGGCAGAGACAATATGGATTGGCTCATTATATATCAGTGTGAATTAAGACGGATGAGATATTTTGAAATGACGCTAGAATTGTGAGATGCATCAATTCAATGATTTCAAATGTCAAATCAACAATCAAATAAATGCATTATGTTTCATCTTAAAAAAATGATACACAATATATGCATTCGCCAATACACCATTTGTAATCACATATAACAAATGACACCTCTAAGTGTACCAACAAAACAAAATTGTTGGATCCAGCCAGCCAGCAGAAACACTTTCTCTTTCTCATATAACAAAAGCAAGGCAAAGAGAAAAGGTTCTGCTTTCTTTTTAGGTAATGAAAGGTGATGTGTGGAGGAGGCCAGGTGTGTGTTGTGTTTGTGAGTGCAAGAAAGAAAGAAAGTACAGAAAGAGGGGTTTGGTTTCATTTTCAAGTTGCTCCATGTTGTTTTCTAATGATCTCTTTCTCATTGGTTGCCCTCTCCTCATGATCAGGGTATCCAAACAATTGAAGAAGGGTACCATCCAACTTTTTATTATTTCTTATTATTTGTTTCCTTTTGCATATTGTTGAGATCCTCCCTTCCTCCACTACTTACCATATGCTCACAGACACATCGTGGGGGTAGCTTGTGTATTCTGCTTTTTCATTGCTCTTTTTCCAGCTTCCTTCCTTTTGTTTGACAATGATGTTCTCCTACCCTCCAATTGTCCATTGCTTGTTAATTTGGAGTGGGTATATGTGAAATAAGACAAACATCGTGATGTTTTTTTAAGATTGAGTTGTTTGATGAGGTAACTTGATAGGCTAAGATGACAATCAATTCCCAAATTGAACCCATGAATTGGATTCTAGTGTTGAAAATTAAAACGCTGATAAAGATACTATCTGATTTATAGAAATGTATTAATGTGTAATGAAAAATTAGAAAGCCTGCCAATACTTAAATCCAACACTAAGGACTATCACTCTAGGTTGACATGTGAATTTCATGAGATTTATGATAGTACTAATTAGAGCTGTCAGTTTGGTTTGGTTAACCAAAACATTAAGTACGAAATTTAAAAAAAAAAATCAAATCAGGCGAACCAAAAGCCGATTGATCCTTAATGGTTTCGGTTTTTAATAAATCAAAAACCAAACTCATAGTCTTTAATGATGTCTTCCACTTGAGGTTTTGGTTTGGATTAACGAGGAACTGTGGGCACAACTGTACATGGGCAACGGGTCGGGTCACCCAGGGGCTAGCACGGCACGACACGGTTAGCGCACGACACGAATACGAAATATATGGGCCGGCCCGGCACGAGCACGAAAAATTTATGGGCGTGTCGGGCCTAAACTTCATGGGCACGGGCACAACACGATATGTAAATGGATCGTGTCGGGCCTAATATTTTCGAGACTATTGAAAATGAACATGACATGAAAAGAATATTTATTTGACAGAAAATAAAAATAGAAATGATTATAGGTCCAAATCTTAAAAAATACAAGTACAATAAAAATTATTTACTATTGTTAGAAGTGATCATAAATATATATACGTAATTACTACCATAAGCAAAAATAGACGAAGTATTAAACAAAGTCAAATCACACTCACTATATTTTCAATTTTCTTTTCCTCCTTATTTGTTACATTTCTTACATTCTCGGTTAATACTTTCATTCTCCGTCCAATTTGTTCCTTGTTTTTCATTACCTTTTTTATTTTCTTTCTTTTCATTAAATACGAATATAAGCACGGCACGGGCACGAATAAGCACGGCACGATTCAAACCGTTCTCGTGCCTAGGCCGGCCCTAGTAAAATTAACAAATGTGCTGGCACGACACGAAAACTTACGGATCGTGTCGAGCACGGCACGAAATAAACGGGCCCGAAGCGTGCATGTACCGTGCCGGCCCAAGCACGACCCAACGCTCACGTACAGGCATTGACTGGCCAATAGGATGTTTTGGGAGTACCTCCGGCGCAGGGAATCCTAATATTAGAGGGTATCCATCGTAGTTCTGTTAGTTGATTTAATCCTATATTATATGATGAGCTTGTGGTATATGATTGATTGATTATGGTTAAGATGATGCATTTAAATATATTAATTAATATTAGTGATATTTATTAGTTAATATTCACATATATATAAACGAGGCATGTATATTCATCGTGAAAGTTATATTTATGTTGTGAAAGCCCTATTGTTATAAAATGACAGAAGAAACCCTTAAATGATTAATCGATGATATTATGGTTGAAAATGATTTCTCGCAGAATCCAAAAATTGAAGAGTTAGTAGATTAGTTTATTTCTGTTATTGTTTAAATAATGATGTTATGACTATTATTGGTTTCATTATATTTAAAAATTGAACATCTCAATTCAAGAACAGTACATCCACGATTTATTGGACTACTCTGATTGTGGGGATGATCCTTGTGAGTATGTCCCTTTTCATTCATTTTTTAGTAGCTTGCAAATATTTCATCAAGCTATTATTCATGTACGAGAGAAGAAAGCGCGCATGAGATAAATAGAGTTCTCAATTTTCCCGTTATTGCCAATTTGCAAAATAAATTTCACCTCCAATGTAGGAGGAGAGAAATTTAACATATGATGTTGTTCTCATAACCATTAAGATGCTAATAGTTTCTTTATTTAATCGAAATCAAAATTCTTAAGCTTCTAAACCATTTAAAACCGAAAAACTGAACCCTTCATCTTCTAATTGATTTGGTTTCGGTTAAAATAGGAAAAAGAAAAAAAATCAAAACCCAAACCAACCTCACCGGGGCCCTAGCACTAATTAGATTAATAGATTGGCATTTGGCAATAAAGTGAATGGTACAACCGTAATTAGTCTTGCCTACTTGTTTTCTTCAACATGCCCATCTAAAGAGTTCTAAGATATGGAAGATGTTGACCATTTAATTCAATCTAGGTTGACACAATTATGAGATACTTTCGACATGGACAAAAGCCAAATTTCCCATGTCATATCAAACCCACAGCATATATAACACCCAAAAGAAAAAGCAAGAATAATAATGTGTGGAGTGAAGAGATAGATAAGTATGCATATATTGGTGAACTGTTGGGCTTTGCCTTGTTGGATAACAGATGCTTGTCTTAGCAAGTGGGAAGAAGGCAGCAGCACCAGCACCAGCACCAGCAGGCTAAGAAACCACTTCTCTTTGGAGGGACACATCAGAGATATAAGGCCTGGAAGACATCTTTTTTCCCCCATCTCTAATCCTCTTCTTCTTCTTTGTACTGAATGTGACAGGACACATCATTTCCCTCCCCTTGCTGTTTCCTTTATTCTTCTCTGTGAGACATGTGGGGCTCTTCTTCACTTTCCAATGCTTCCTTTCCTTTCCTTTCTTTAGGGTATCAGCTGACCAAACCCAAATCTGATTCTGATGCAACCAAATATGTCCTCTTCCTTCATTTCATTACTTAACATCTGCTCTTTCCTTTTGGACCATCAGCTCAACTCATAAGGTGGAAATCTGGCAAACCCAACATAAAAAAAAATGCAGCGGTTATATGTCTGTCCCTCATTCCTGGAAAAATGGAAGGACCCAGCATTCCAAGGTTGTCACTACTTGGTGGTAAGGCATAAGGAAGGTAATTCTGCAAACTGCTAATCCGTCACACTCGAGCTGTGCTGACATCGCAACTTTCGGAGGGTTACTGGCTGCACAATGGGAGGTCTCTGTTGAATACATCAATCCTCAAGCAATGTTGCATCGGATTATCTCGCTCGTCAGGGTTAAGTTTTCAAGTTTGGTGGAACGACATCCAGGGCATGTTATGCCCTCATGAGCCGTGATTGCAACAAAAGAATTCAGTCCTAACTCAATGCGGTTTCCTAAGAACTTCCCAGCAAGTACAAAGGCGAACTTGGGACCTAGAGTGAATCGACAGCACTATATGATTGAAAGAAAGAAGGTATATGTATATTAATGGATGCATGTAATTTATATACATGGGCTTTCAAAATGTTCCAACGGCCTGGTACAAGAGGAATAAAGGAATGGAGACTTCCATATAGAGCTTCAAGCTTTGCATTAATTATGCTAATGGAGCAATCGTTAGCTAGACAGAATCCAAATGCTGCTGACGATCACTCCGTGCCCAAACAATGTCCTTGAGGTCTTCCCTTAGTTGCTTCTCTACAGTGGGCCAGTGTTCTTTGAAGTTCTCACCACTGCCGCAACTTCTCATCTCCACCAGATGACAGAAAGGAGTGAACTCAAAAACCTCAGCAATAATGGATAAATGGCTTCTTCTTCTACCTTCATCTGATGCTTCCAGTATGAGCACCCCTCTGTCTCTCTTCTTAACCTGCAGCTCTAGATGCGTGGCCATGTCCTCCAGCTTCGACATTATAGTCGATGCAGACTGCAGCGACACAAACTTCAGTGCTTCTTTGTTCTGATCACGCTCAGCAAACAAACCAGACAGGTTCAGCCCATTTGAACAAGAGATTATGTCAAATGCATTCAAACTTGTGGGTTTCCCCAACTCTTCGCCTTTCCCTTCATGACCACCGGTCTCACGAGGGATGATTCGTGTCAAATCATTCTTCAAGCACCCCGATTGTGACTCTGGCCCTTTTCTGAACCAAGGATCCTCCATGATTTCGGAGATGGTGGTTCGAGTAACCGGGTTTGGGTCAAGCATTCTTGACAGCAAGTGACGCACTTCAGGTGCAAACCATGCTGGTAACTTGTAATCAGCATTGCTGGCTTTCCTGTACATAACAATCATATTGGCATCATGGAATGGGAGATAGCCAGCAAGCATGACATACAAGATCACCCCACAAGACCAGATGTCAGCTTTCGCACCATCATAACCTCGTGCATGGAGAACCTCAGGAGCAACATATGAAGGGGTCCCACAGGTTGTGCGTAGTAGGCCATCTTGGCACTTAGATTCGACAAGGGCACTCAGCCCGAAATCCGATACTTTCAGGACTCCATTCCCATCTAACAGCAAGTTCTCTGGCTTCAAATCCCTGTGGTAGACACCTTTTCCATGACAAAATTCAACTGCATTGATCAGCTGTTGAAAGTACTTCCTAGCTGCATCTTCCTTTAGCCTTCCTTTGGCCAGCTTGTTGAAGAGCTCACCACCTTTAGCATACTCGATAACAAAGTAAATCTTGGTTTTGGAAGCCATGACTTCATAGAGCTGCAGCACATTTAAGTGTTTGACTCGTCTCATGACTGAAATCTCTCGTTTGATGTTGCTAGTCAGCCCAGCTTTCAGAGCCTTTTCCTTGTCGATGACCTTAATGGCCACACTTTGGCCAGTTTTAAGGTCTCTTGCATGGTGAACTTTGGCGAAGTTCCCTTGGCCTAATAATCTCCCAACCTCGTACCTCCCCATCAGGACACTGTCTTTGTATTCCATATTTCTGCTATCTATAGGCTGTGCTTAACAAGTAGTAGTAAGTATATACAAACTTTATGAACAAGGAGCCTCAGAAATGGGAGAGCTCGTCCACCTTCACTAATGAATGCTTCAGAAGGGCGTATGATTATTGTCAATGGTCACCTGGTTCTTTCCGAGTGAGATACAACTAGCTGCTTTTAAACTAATTCCGCAGAGCAAAAACCAGAATGAAGAATGAATTTCACAGGTTTGAAAGGAGTTATCAGACTTCCAGCACATTTTGCTGCATGCCCAGGTGGTGTTGTAGCATAAATGCTGTAGGGTACTGGATCACCGGGTGTGGAAACACACACTGCTGATAGATCTGGGGGCAACAGAAATAGGATCATCATAATCAGCCCATGAATGAACGCAGTGATATTGGTAAAGGAACTAACCTACGAATAAATTGCATCATTCTTTTGCATTACAAACAAGGTATCTGATAAGAAATCCAACATGAACCCATAGTCTAGTCTTATAGAGGCAGCAAATGGGGAACCCTGTGCCGATTTTCAATCAAGAACAAGTACCAAGGAAGAGAGTGGGGAATGACATTCCTGATTGCTGATCAGACAATCTAGCTGGTTGTTAACAGATCAATAAACCGACAAGAGAGAAATGCAAAGAAAAATCCAGGGAAACCAAAGTCAATGAAGCTGCCACCTGTTGGATGAACTAGAACAGGACTAGTTTCTAACAAGCAAATGACTTTGGAATTGAACTAAGGCCATAACGAGCATATCTGATTCTCAGAAAAACACAACACGCAAACCCAGATCGACACGCAACATTGGCGAAAACCCCCACAATTCTAACACTGATCTGAAAGCAACAGACATCTTGTAACAGAAGAAAGAAAACCCAGCTCAGAAATCAAAGCACGGTGAGCAGATGCAAGGAAAGGAAAAAGAAACCCAGATAAGCATTTGGGGGAAATGACGATCCTCACACCAAGAAACTCAAAGAGGGGGAATTACAAATTAGACTAACCAACATAGCAGAAGAAGCTGCAGAGGTGCTGCTAGGGAAGAGAGACAGACAGGGGAGAAGCAAGCAAGCAAATCCAAAGACGACACACAATGAAGGAGACGGACAAAAACAAAAACTGGGGATCTCAAAGACGTTACCTTTATGAAGAAGGGACGGATTCGCGGTTTGGGAGAATGCAGTCGTAACGTTCAAGGAAAGGAGAAACCCTCAAAACCTCCGCCCGCAAGCTATGTTTTTGTATACCAAGAATGTGAGGAGACAGACTCGATCTTCTTCGTCTTCTTCTGCCGTTACTTATCCCGCCAAGGATGGCTCGACTTTTCTTTCTCTTCTCCTTCTTAGTTTGCTAGTAGGAGTAGTTGTAATTTATGGGGGGTGGGCTCGAAGCTCTTTGCTTTGATGGCGACTTGAAATTGTGGGAGAGCCACGGAACAGAACAACACCTCAATCTCAACTTATGGAGAGGGGACGTGACAGTGATTCAAGATCAAAAGAGAAAAGAGAAGAGAAGAGAAGAGAAGAGATTCGATCATATATATATATAAGAGATTTGGAACAATTGATGACAAGGATTAAGGATAATTATGAAGCAATTAGGAAGGAAGGAAGGGAAAAGACGAAATTGGCTTCAAACCTTTTGTGCGTTTTAATGGAGAAAAGTGGCGGAAGAAAGGTAATCCTCTCTTCGTATTATGGGAAAGCCAAAAAGAGAGAATTTGGAATATATATTATGGGAAATGGTCAGGAGATATATATATATTATTTTTGGCGGAACAAGATTTGATTCTGTTAATTGGCTGCCGCCAGCAAAATCACAACCGAAAATTGCAACCGGAACTGGATTTTGGCCTTTGCGGAGGAGTGCCGGTTCAACTAATTACGGTGATTCAGCTCCGGATAAAATTACAACTTTCGTAGTTTGAACTGATAACTGATAAGATCGTAAACTAGTTGAGATTAACATCAGAAAATGAGTTATGAACAAGGTTATCAATTCGGTTTATCACGTTGGCTAAATCCAGTAAGTGGGTTGAGATTTAATCGTCTAATTGCTTTAGTCCGGTTTAGCAGGATATATGAAAAAAGTCATTACATTATTCATACATTTATAAAGTATAGCAAATCTCATATCGACAATACCATATAGTATTTACACTAAAACAAGAGTTCATACTTGGATCCAACATACAATCAAAATTCAAACACACTCATATCACATTAATATTCAAATGTTCAACTTAGAATTATATACATAGATTTTAATGCAGGGAAAATCGAAAAAGAAGCGCATTTCACAAGCCAAAGGAGAAAACGACGCCTTGTGACCTCCAACTCGTGAACCTTGCTGCGGGTTGGTCGACCGACGAGTTTGTGGAGTCCTTTTTTTCCACGGGTTCATGTCGACCTGCGAGTTAACATCCTTGATAAAAACTTACTATCTTTATTTTGTGTTTAACAAGATAAGAGAACCTTTACAAGTGCTAACTGCTTAGGGGTCGTTTGAAACGACCATTTGCATGAGTTATTGTGACCCACTCAAATAACTCAGTCTGAGTTATTTGGATCCTAATAAGTTTTTGATAGAATTTGGATCATAATAAGTTAATAACTCAATTTGACTTATTTGGACAATTGTATTAATATTATACTAACCATCGTCTTAACCATTATCTCCTATCTATTTTATATCTAACTAGTTTTTTACCCGCCCGTTGGGCGATGCATTTTGTTTGGTTATTTTATAATTCGTTATAGTATTATAATGATTATTTATTTTTTGTTGAGCTAATATACATGGAATTGTAAATCTCACTTACCTGATTTTAGATAATATTCTATACTTTTATGCCTTTTTATTTCTGAAAAATTTAATTGTATTAACTGAGCTCTCTGTAGATCGTTCTTTATCGATTTAGAATTTTGTATCAAACTCAAAAAAGTTAAAAAAATAAAGGCCACAAACGAAGAAGTTAGAATAAGAAAATATGTTTCAATTAATAAAAAAAAAAGCGAAGAGCTTTTCATTTTCTTTCCCTTCTCATATGTCGGTATAAGATAATAGAGAATATTCCGATCTAGAACCCCACGAATATCATGTATTATCAATTACACATGCAATTATGGAATAATGATGAAACACATTAGCATCCACATCCATCAATATTCCGCATACTCATTTAATTTATCTTGGCAATATTCTAGCAAAACCAACCAAAAACAGAACTATCATTTGTCACTAATTTAATAAAGTAATATTTTCTGCAAACTAAACTGCATATAAACACAATTTCTATTTTATAGAGAGCTACATATCTCCTACAGAAAAAATGGTGTCTTTTTACCTAATAACAACATAGACAAATAATGAAAGGACAGAATACTTCAATACAACTCAACTCATTTTATCTTGCAGATTTCTAATTTGTGAACTGAATTTATATGCACCAATCCAAATAGTAGTTGGTAAGAAAACAATCATGTCAAAATCAAGTTTTAGTTAGAGATTTAATGAGTAAAAATCCACCCTAATGAAACAAACAAATGTCATTGCAAATGTGTAGAAACAGAAAAAAAAATCGAAATACACAATCGAGGAACCACCACCATCATTTTCGTTCTTTTTCGCGACCTTTATAAAACCCCAATTATATTCCATTCTACTTATAATCCCTTTGCTACCTATTAATTACTAACCAGATTGTCATCTTATAGCTAGCTAGTAGCATGTCAATCATGAACATAAAGAATATAATGAACAACCCTCACAACTCTACTTTTCATTTCAAAATCTAAGAAATCGAGTTGCAATAGGCATTTAAGGAAAACAATCAATTATTTAACCAAAAGAGATATGCCCTAAGTCCAACCATATATCCCTTCTAATTATACATTACCTATTTATATAAAAGTATATTTCGTAATAGAGAACATAAAACAACTCCATGAAAACGAAGAAGAAATACATCCGCTCATTGAGTGGGGAAAATTTACCATCCAACAGTTTTAATTTGGAAGAAATTAAGAAAAGAATGGCGGAAAGAAGAGTGAGCAGTTGCCATCTTCAGATTAAGGAGGAAGAGGGAACAGTCGACAATCCTCAATTTGGCTCACCTCGTCTTTCCAATGATAGGATGAACTGTTTTCATCAACAAACAAAAATATGTTACAACTGCTCAAAATTTTGTCATCTTATCGTTGCCTCGTGTACCTCCCTCCTCCTATTCTCCTACAAAGAAAAAACTTCATATGCATTATCATTTTCTTCTCTATCTAATTTCTTATTTTCAATGTTGGGTTTTATTTCTAGAGAGACAATCAAAATGGGAAAATGGTAGAGATAAATTAAAAGTTTGTATTCATAATTAATATGTTTTCATTAAATCGGAATGAATAAGAAGTGTTTAAGAAAATAATTATTGCCTGTCAAGTTTACATTCAGACCTTTTTCTATATAAATTATACTTGTTTTATTTTATAAGTATATGTATTAGGAAGAAGTAAGTGTTTAGTAGCAAAATATATATAGTCATATAGTTTATTTTTCAAAGTCGATTGATGGTCAAACACTTATTTTCTCTTAGATCATCGTTTAAATTTTGTCTAATTGAAAAATTAATATTATTCATATGTTTCGTAGTTACGTTATTGCGACTTTTAGTAGTGATTAACATTTTATAGGAAATCATTATTGGTTAATAGCAAATGACTACTATAGACCAATATTAAAAAAAATAACACAAATCTCTAATTACAAATAGACAGGCCAATATTATTCATGAGCAATCCAGGTCGCCTAACTCCTCCATCTGATAACTTATTCAAATCTTGTTTGGTTTCACATGCTTTTATACTCGTCCTTTATATCCAATATCCTGAAACTCATCAAAATTAAAACCAAACAACGTAAACTCAAGCAAAACGAGTCAAGAGAGGGTCTAAACGGTTGATAAACCAAATAGAACAAAATAGAATGTCAATAACCAATG